TCATTTACCGGGGCATTATGTCGGTTTAGATCAGTCGACATGTCGAATGTCGATATCTGCATGAATGAAAGAGTTGGAACTTTTTAATGGTAAAATTACCAATTTAGACACAACTTTTGATAGTTGCTTCTAAATTTTTTTAGATCAATGACGGGTGGGAATTCGTTTATCTATGAAACAAATCTATGATGTTTTAACTAGTTGAGTTATCGTCTAGTTGATTTTTTAATTTTGGATGCTTGTAAAAGTAGTAAGTAATGAAGGAAAATATATGATAAGTGTTATAGGAATAAAATAGAGATCGGACTAAACAACCGAAAAGAGGAAATTGAGCTGAAGAAGAAGCGGACCCGAAGAGAGTTAAGTGGGTCGGGGCCCAGCAATCCGAGCCAGCCATAGCCAACCCAAGGTCGGCACCGTGCATTGCTCGGCGCTGACCAGACCTCAGCGCCGAGACCTCATCGGCGTCGAGGTGTTCTCGACCCAATGGCCAAGAACTTCACTGATTCGCCCAGACCCCCGCACAGCCCGATCCAAGTTGACTTGGTCTCGACTTTGAATGCAGCATGAGGCTCATTCCGTCTAGATCTCCTGAGTGCATTAGGATTCAACTTATGTAAATCCTAAAAGGAATAGGATTCAACTTATGTAAATCATAAAGGGATTAAGATTCGACCTCTATAAATACGAGAGTAAGCTAAACACTAATGGTATGCTCACAACACCCTACACTTTATACAACTACTCTGATTCTGACTTAAGCATCGGAGCCTGCCGGTCTTTAGTGTTATTCTGTTTTGTAGGTTTTGTCGATCTCTTTTATTCTAGAAGATTGGTGCGAATTTGGCGGAATCCTAGGAGGCCAAATTTCTGCATCAACAATTGGCATCGCATGTGGGGACGACTAAGATCTAAAAGTCAAGACGATTGACAGGGAATTTACTGAAAATTTCTCGGATCTGAGGAGATCTCGGGAGAAACAAATCGACATGGATTCTGGAGGCAGACCACATACGACTCGGGAGTTGCCCCTACCTAAGGTATCCGAGGGAAAAACAAATCAATAAGTTATGAGGCAGAACCCAAAACGAACGAATCAACAAATTTTAGGACAGATCCTGGATGAGGTAAATCGACAGATTCCAAAACAGATTTCAGGATAAACAAGTCAACAAATCCCAGAAAAGAAAAAGCAACATACGCTCATCCAAATTCTACGGAAGAACAAAGCTACTGCAAATACCTGACAAGCAACTACATAACTGGTCATGACCCAATCTAAGACATTACCAGACTCCAAGGCTGATTGGATCCAAAGCATGACCAGGTGTCAACCGAGCAGATCTCTCGGCCGACCAGGTCTCTTATGCCTACCAGGTCTCTTCCACCGGTAAGGTCCCTTCAACCGACCAGGTCGCTTCTGCCGATTAGGTCTCTTCTGCAGACCAGGTGTCTTCGGCCGACAAGATCTCTTGTGTCGACTAGGTCTCGTCCGCATACCAGGCAAATTCACCACTCGTGGAAAAGATAGTTCATCTAAAGGTCAAAATTCTCTGCTATCAAACAAAACGACGACTCAAAAATTCCTACTGATTACCGGATTGACATCTACGGAGTGACAAAGGATATCATGGTCTCAAAGAAAAGGAGAAAGATCTCATCCGCAAAGGTCACCTCAAGAAATTTGTTGAAACCTCCAAGGTAACTTATAGCAACAACCAAACTGACAAAGTCTCCCACTAGGGAGATAAGGATAATGTTAAGAGGACCTGCAAGATGAGAATCTAATAAAAAAACGACGAGTATCACGAGAATGCTACTACACTATCTTGAAAAGCAACTAATTAACATATGGAGTTTCTACTTCAGACAATGGCAAGTTTGCTGTGTAATTCTGGTTGTTTATAATTACGAAAGTTTAAGTTTAATTTTCTGGTAACCACATATTTGGTAGATCGTATAATTTAGGACTGATTTTTTAATAATTGCATGTTGATATTATGTTTCCAAAGAAGCTCCTACTACCATTTAAAATATAATTAAATCTTTACTACTTGAGCGTTTATCTTTTATTCTAAATGAAAATCCTTCAAGTGAGGGCATGTGGGTAAGTAAATTAGCAATTGGTCAAGGAACTCGAACAAGGATAGACTTAGAAGCCAGACCGATAAGCTAGAAGCCAATCAGTGAAACTAGGTAAGAGAATCCCAAGGTACTGAAAAAGACATGCGCAAGGTTAGAACAAAAAAACAGGCAAGCATAACCAATCAATGAAACCCAGAGGTAGAAAACCATTTGGTAAAAACCAAAATAGGTTAAAAACTCAGGAGTGTTGATTAACTTAGTGTAAAAAACCGGCAAAAGTCAAAATGTTAGAAACCCAAGGCCGACTAGACTCAGGGTGTAAAACCATTGGCAAAAGCCAAATAAGTTAGAAACCCAAGAGTGAATCTTGGGGTATAGAATCATGGGCAGGAGCCAAATAGGTTAGAAACCCAAATAAGTACCATTGGCCCTCCTGAGAAGTTAAATCTGAAGGCCAAAATCTAACGGTAAAAAATAACTGTATAACAATGTCTAAGAGACTTGATTGTAGTCAACTACAACAAAAGATAATGGGGGCTATTACAGCCGTCCCATAAAAACGACAACGGACAACGACAAATACTCTAAACACTAAGGGACTTGATGGTAGCCAACTACAACAAAAGAGAATCAGGGCTATGACAGCCCGCCCATAGAGACAACAACTAACAGAGACAAATACTCTCACTATAGAAGCCCTAACATACTTTCCGCCTTCTATTTTGAGAGTGAGAGCTATTGTTATAGGAAGAAAATAGAGATCGAACTAAACAATCGAAAAGAGGAAATGGAGCTGAAGAAGAAGTTGACCTGAAGAGAGATAAGTGGGTCGGGACCCAGCAACCTCGGCTTGCCATAACCGACGAGGGGCACTCCGTAGTGCATTAGGATTCAACTTATGTAAATCCTAAAAGGAATAGGATTCAACTGATTTATCTTAAAGGGATTAGGATTCGACCTCTATAAATAGCTAAACCCTAATGGTATGCTCACAACTGTTAGGTGTGTTGCCCTAAACTCGTAGTTTGTATTTTGTGTAAAAACAAATGTATATTCAATAAAGTTTTATTCAATAAATTTGTTGTTGAATTCATAGCATTGCATTGTCCAAAATCCAATAAACTAAACATCCGAGGTTATTTTAGTGTAACCGGGATAGTATATGTACTGAGTATATATTTGATATACCCCTGATGTACAAGGTATATGTTTGATATGCCCCTGATATACAAGTGAATAATGTCCCGTGAACAACCTAAAGGGTCTATAGTATATGGATAAGGCTGGGTACCTTATCCTGGCAAGACTATGGATACGACCCACTCTATAAAGGTTACAGACGACTCGATCCAGGTCGTTCGTGTGGAGACATGTGAGTGGGGGTATCATATATAATGAGTTTGTATAAGACCGGACCACAAAATAGCCAATCTTTAGATGTAACACCGTTAACTAATAGATTGTTATTTCAGAGGATAACCAAACAACTTATTCTCAATCCTGAGTGAGTTATGGACTCCTGCCCGTGAAGGCTCGTCCTTTGATCTGTATGGCTAAGAGTGACCCAAGTTGCCTACTCAATATTCCTACCATTTTGGGGACGAGATCGAGTGGAGAGTTGGGAACATAACTTCACAAGATGGAATTCACTTCTTCCCGACTTTAGGGGAGTAGATGAGTGTTCTCTTAAATGCTGACTCCGGGACTTGAACAAGGGGCTCCACCCTCTCATTGGCTCGAGAGGGACTTCCGGTTATTGGTCGAACTATAACCGGGTTGTTCATTAGAGGAGCAGTGGTATTTAAGGGGTAAGATGTACCTCAGGGGTAAAACGGTAATTTGACCCAACTTGAGTTACGAGCACTCGTGAAGGATTGACTTGTCATTTATGGTCGTATATCCGTGGACACGAAAACATTCTGTAGTGAGAAGAGTGCAACTGTGGGTCTTTAGTAGAGTGACCCGTAGTTAACGAATGTTGATTAACTCGATAAATGAGTTTGACCGATTAATCTTGTATCGTTGGAGCTTCTGATCTGTAGGTCCATTAGGCCTCCTTGCTAGCTCATAACGGGTAAAACGAGGATCAAGTTTTTGGAAGAATTTGAACTATTCAAATTACTTAAGGGATTATATGTATATTGATACATTATAATATATAGTTAATTCTAAATTAAAACTATATATTATGAGAGAAATTATTTGAATGAGATTCAAATAAAATTAATATGAATAAGATTCATATTAAGACTATAGGTTAAAAATAATGTGCATAAGATATACATTAGAACTGTAGGTTATACGAGAGAAATGCTATAGAATATGATTCTATTTTTTGTGATAAATAATTAAGGGTTAATTATTTATTTGATATATATATATATATATATATATTAATTAATTAATTATTAATTAGATTAATAATTAATTATTTATTTATATATATATATATTAATTATTAATATTTAACTCCCTTGCAATTGCAGGGGAGTGGGTGTTTTTCTTCTTTTGCAGTTCTGCAAAAACAGTAGAGAAGAACAAAAGTAGAACTCCAAGAATTTCTCTCGATCAAAGCTCTCTCTCTCAGTTCTCTCACTGATTTCAAACGAGGTGCTCCCACAAGTACGGTCTCGAGACTCTAGAGGATAGCAAGGAAGATTCGGTGGTGGTGTTCGAGGGGAAATTGTTGAAGAAAAGTTCTTCAAAGGTAAAGTTTTTCCCCTGTGTTTTCAATTTTGTAAGTTTTGGTTTTGTTTCTCGAAAATCAAGAACGATGGTCCGCTTCCGCTCCGGGATTCACATCCCTTCAACAACACCCTACACTTTATACTCAACTACTCTGATTTTTACTTAAGCATCAGAGTCTATGTGGCAAGCACCGGTCTTTAGTGCTATTCTGTTTTGCAGGTCTTGTCGATATCTTTTATTCTAAAATATTGGTGCGAATTTGGCGGAATTCTAGGAAGCCAAATTTCTACATCAACAATAAGGATCTATTTCTATGCTGACTGAGCGATAACTGACATATAATCGTCTCGAAGTCATAAATTTATCCTCCATATCCTCAAATTATCCTACCAAGAAAAAAGCCTCTATTTTTTCATTTTTCTCGTTGTCAAATGTAGTCAAATTTGTAGGATTTATAAGTGTGTATATATTTTTAGCAAACTATTTTTTGCAATTATGAAGGTTGGTTTCCTATTGCTTTAGTTTTTCGTACTTCAATGGACTTAATGTTTTTATGTTTTATGGATAGGGTTGAGTTAAAATTATTTTTATCTAATTTAGTTGTTTTAATGGTAAATTTGACTCTAGTAAGTTGATGAATTCAACTTTAACCCATTGTTAAATTTTTAGGGGCGATTTAGATTATTCATGTAAATTTTGTTGAGTTTGAAAATAAAAATATCATATATATTTTTTTATTTTTTAGTACAACACGTGGGACAAAGATTTTAATTAACAACCTCTGTTTCAAATATTAATGAGCTACATAAATATCTTATACTATCAATGTGGACAAAATTTAATAATCAAAATAAGATTAAAACCTGGGTGATCGGTATTAAATTTATTACATTAAAAAATCATTATTCATATATTAGAGCAGATAAATTTAGTATATCTTCCCTAACTTGTTCTAATACGATAGATTTATTATTGTACTCGATTACATACCTAGTTTAAGTGTGATTGTCAGATTGATTATGGATTGTTCAATTTCTACGGTAAGATATCCATCTAAGTTATGACGTTTATTTTATTCATATCTAAATAATTTATATAATGTCACAATTTTATGATATTTCTTTTAATAAAATTTAATTATCATAAATTTGCAAAGAACAGAAGATTCTTACGAACAAAGTTTATAACTTTACCTCAAGGAAACTTGTATCAATATTTGTACTAAATCAAGTTGGATCAGTGCAGAGATGACATATTTAATAAAACTTACCAAACGTGCTCATTAAAAAAAAAGAAATAGCCTTTTTCTTTTTGTGTAGATGTTTTTTTCCTAAGGTGGCCACATACAAGTCCCTTCAAAACTAAGAATGACAATATTGAATTGAAAACAATTGTAAATATAAGTTTAACTCAATAATAATTGTGATAAGTTCGAATTTCCGTCCATGTACTCAAAAGAAAAAAAAATCAAGATAATCAAATACTCTAATTTGATAAAATTGAAGGTTTATGGTTCATAAATTTAAAAATTAAAAAATCTTAATTTCTTTAAAAATATTTCTAAAGTGTCATTTCGATAAACAGTGGCTAATATTTCGAAGGATTAAATCTATAAAAAGATGAACTATCAATTTTAAAAGAAAAATTAGGGTACATAAAATGGAATTTTTTAAATAATTACTTTTTAAAAACAAATGACAAAGGTAGGGTAGGATCAAAACATATTCCAAAAATAGGGTAGGTAAATCGTAGCCAACGGCTGCGATTTCACGAAATCGTGGCCGTTGTGTGCGATTTAGGACGAAATCGTGGTCATAGGCCACGATTTCACTGAAGTCGCAGCCGACTTCCCTTTTGACGCAAGTCGCAGCCGTTAGGGTTTCGGTGGGGACAACCTGTGGCCTCCTCCCCCATTTCCACCTTTTCTTTCTTTCTTCAAATGGTCCCCCCTCCCTCATCCTCCATTGCCGTCGTGTGAGCTCCGCCGCCTCCTCCATTGCCGTCGCCTCCTTCGCCTTCGTTGCTCCATTTCTGCCGCTGCCGTGACTGTACGTCGACCGCCGTCGGTATTTTTATTTTTATTTTTATTTTTTATTATTAAGTTGATTTTGTTGGTAAATGTTTTTTTATTAGTTTGTTTTGTTTGTATATGTATTTTTTTTATTAATTTTGTTTTGTTTGTATACGTTTTTTTTTATTAATTTTTTTTGTTTGTTTATATTTATATGTCTTTTTTTATTAATTTTATTTTGTTTGTATATATATTTTTTGTCATGAATTATTTAATTTGGACATAGATTGATTAACATTGGATTATGGTTAACTTTTTTAGATTTATGTTATATGTTATGAATATTGTTGTATGTTTTTTTTTAAATAATTCGTTAACATAGTTATAAATATTATACAGTTATGTCATTTGATTGTGATGAAATTGTGATACTTGAACCTGGAAATGGATCCGCTTCTGATATTGCGGTGGAAGTAGATGAATTGTTTGGAACTGAATTGTGTTTGAACATTTCAGTAAATTTGAATCCTCCACTCCCAAATGAGGAAGCACCTTCACCGATGTTTACTGAAATAGATTGTGAGATTGTAGACTCTATATGTGAAGAAGGTTCAAAGTTGGAAGAAGGGTCGATGTCTCTAGAAATGAATGTGGATAACATACGTATAGGGTCAAAATTTAGGACAAAAGAAGAACTACAACTTGCTGTCAAGAAATATTGTATTGCACAACATTATCAATTTGTTGTAATTGAATCGAATCAAGATATGTGGTATGTAAAATGCAAACAATGGAATGATGGTTGCAAGTGGAGACTTCATGCTCGTCGACGTAAATCTCATGGAATGTTTGAAATCAGTGTACTTGAGAAGGTTCATTCGCGCTTATATGTCGAGCTTACACAGGATCACTCACAATTGAACTCAAATTTTATGTGCAATGAAATTCAGAATATTGTATGACGTGATCCTAGTACGTCTGTAGCTTCATTACAAGAAGTCATAAAAAAAGATTTTGGATATTGTGTGAACTACAGACGTATGTGGCAAGCTAAACGAAAAACACTAATTAAAGTTTTTTGATATTGGGAAAAATCATATGAAGAGTCTCATACTGGTTGAATGCTTTAGTGCATTACAATGCCGACACTCGAGTACTCTGGGACTTGATACCTTCGAATAAACCTGGACATCTTATTTTTGGGCGAGTGTTTTGGTCATTTGGTCCTGCAATTGAAGGATTTAAACATTGTAGACCATTAATCCAGATTGACGGTACACATCTGTATGGCAATTATAAGGGAAAATTACTTATTGCCACCACAATTGATGCAAATGGACATATATTCCCTATTGCTTTTGCTATTGTGGAAGAGGAAAATACTTCTAGTTGGTCGTGGTTTTTGTGTGCCTTGTGAAATTTGGTTACCGAACGAGATGGAATTTGTCTAATTTCTGATCGACATAGAGGTATTTTGGCGGCTGTGAAAAATAAGGAAAATGGCTGGAGTGAACCAAGAGCACATCATCGATTTTGTCTCCGTCATGTGGCTAGCAATTTCAACAAAAAATATAATTCGAAGCCCTTAAAAGAGTTGGTGTATCGTGCTGGGTGTCAACACCAAAAACGTAAATTTGAAATATATATGAGGGAGTTACAACAATTAAATCCATATTGTATTGATTTTTTCACTCATATAAACATTGAAAAATGGACACAAGCACATGATCAAGGGTTTCGATATGGATGGATGACAACAAAACTAGCAGAGTGTATTAATGTGTTTTCTAGGGAGCTAGAATGTTGCCAATTACTACATTGATGAAGTTTACGTTTTGTAAGACTATTATTTATTTCCAGAAACGTAGAGATGATATCAGTGAAGCAGTGGATCGGGGTGAAAAGTATACAAAATATGCTTTAAATAAATTGAGGAGGTGAGAGAAAAGAGCGACGACACATTCAATAACTTCTATTGATTGAGAGGCACAAACTTTTCAAATCGAAACATGAATAAGTATGTTCTCTCCTTACAAAGGCCAACATACTCAAGTAGTTTGATTAAAGGACAATACATGTACTTGTAACAAGGGACAATCTCAAGATACTGTGTTCTTATGTAATTGCAGTCTGCAATCATGTTCACTTGTCATATTTGCCTTATGTCGAGAAGTATTACGAATTATCACGGTACAAACTTTGTTATGCATATCGATTCTACCCTATACAACATAGGGACTATTGGCCGGAAGTGAAGTTTGACGTTATTCATCCGAACCCAAATTTGTTGAGGGAACATGGACACCCAAAAACTTCTGCATTCACAATGAGATGGATTTGCGGGAGATGGATACGAAAGTTCATTGTGGAATATGCAAAAAAGAAGGACATAACAAACGTACATGTCCAACTCGCAACTCTGGCGCTTCATCTTCGAGACAAATGGGTGATTAAGGTGGATTTCTTTAATTATTTTTTTAGCATAATGTTACAAATCTATTAATATTGAAATCAATTCTATATTTTCTATGTACAGGTTGAAGCATATGCGGTGATATCCTTCTCAATTAGTTTGGGATTGTTGCTTTGTAATACCCTATATTTTATCACTTACTCGAATTCGTGCTTTGTAATACACTATGTTTTATTGAATCATTTGTTGTTTTGTAATAGTTAGATATTTGGAATTGTAATGTACTATACTTTATGTCATGTTATGTGAAATGAACTTTGATTATAATTGTGCTATTTGTCTTATTATATTTCAGAATTAATTATGGATCAAGGACCTTTGGATTCGCAACAGCTATACTTACGACGATCACATCGTTCACAATTAGTGTGGGATAATGGATCTACCATAGTTTTGCAATGTCGAAAAAGAGAGGTCGTAGTATCTCATAACATTAGGTTAGATAATCGTATAGTGTCATATCTACAATAGTATGAATTTTGGGGGGTTTCACAGATAGGCTTTACTCAGTTAGATTGACATCTTATTACTGCACTGGTGAAGCGATGGAGACAGGAAACTCACTCGTTTCACATGCCTGGTAGAGAGTGTACTATTACACTACAAGATGTTGCTGTGCAGTTAGGGCTACCTATTGATGGATAACCCATTACAAGATTCTTGCAATACGATTGGGCACAGTTATGTGAGGATCTACTGGGAGTACGACCTCCTCAACTTAAGGGATCTAGGTTGAATATTCCTTGGCTAGCGGCACAATTCATTAAATTACCACAAGATGCTGATGATGTTACGATACAGAGATACGTACGAGCATATATTATGTAGCTCATCGGTAGATTTTTATTTCACGATAAATCTAACACATTAGTTCATCTCATGTTTGATATTCATGGGGTAGTGCATGCCTCACATGGTTATATCAAGAACTCTGTCGGGCTAGTCGAGCTGATGCCCTGGATATAGCAGGTCCGTTGATACTTTTACAAGTGTGGGCGTGGGATAGGTTTCCTACAATTGCTCCACAACACCATGTACTCACTCCTGAACAATATGTTGGACGTCCTCTTAGTGCACGATACATTCATTTTCATTTATTTATATGTGATTTTTAAATTATATGTAACTGAATAAGTTTTACATAATGCAGATGGAATGAAGTCTTGATAGCTTCTGAACAATCTACGAACATGTTGGTTCAATATCGAACCTGTTTTGATCGACTTGAGCCCAATGGGGTATATTACTTAGAAATAAATAATTATAATTAACTTAATAATAATATTAATTCTAATTTATTAATGATTTCAGATTATTTGGACATCGTACAATCACGACATTATGACTCTATTACCTGAATATTGTCATAATGGGCGTGATATTTGGTTGACTTCAAGCCCTCTTATATGTTTTCATATTATCGAGTGACATCTACCAAATCGAGTGTTGCGACAATTTGGGCTTTTACAGAATAAACCGTCATATTGTAATACTAACACGAGTCTACATCAGATCGACCTACGAGGAAAACATGATCACAATTGGCAACGTCAACATGCAGCATATATATCACTATGGCGTCAGCGTCGTGATCGGTGTGCATTTAGTGATGCAACAGATATGCCGACCGTGTCAGATGATTATCAACAGTGGTATGATTCGATTACAAGAAAGTATATCACACGTGAATATGCTTATCACGGTTACATGGTTAGTATTATATTTCTTATATTTTTTAATTACAATATTTAAATAAAATTTAATATTAATAATTATTATATCAATTACATGATTCTTTTATTAGCAACGTATAAGATTTTGCAATACAAGAAAATCTACCTGTATTAAAATCAATGTGTGATACTTGCATTAGCATAACTGAATCAAATTTAGTTTATCCAAGAGTAACATCAAACTTCGAAATGAGGCGGCCTCGTCGTAGGCGCAATCAAGCACAGCCAAATGAAGAAGTTTAAGAAGAAGCACAAGAAGCTGAACAAGTTCAAGAACAAAATGAAGATGCTATAGGAGATGAACAGATTATGAATACTCCTATACAATCACATTTTCTAATGATTCCTACACCAGAAGTTCATTTAGACACTGCATCTACTTCATCTCATCAACCTGACCCATAACCCGTTCAGCAAGAACCTCGTCGTGGACGTCACATAAGAAGGCCACGACAATGTGGTACATGATTATCTATGTTTTGTAATATGTTTAAAAGTTTAAGACAGCTTTTTGTATTGAATATGTTTTTCATATGTAAAATTTGATATTTGACAAACGTTTACTTTATAATATAAACACATGAAAAACAACCTTATAATTCATTGATTTTAGTCTAATTTTAAAACTTTAAACTTTAATCACATTTTAATCAAAATTTGAAATATAATAACAAAAAATAAAATAATTAATTGCATCTTAATTAAAAATTCCGCAATATTAATAAAAGTAATTTTGCAATATTAATAAAAGTAACAATAAAAAAAATATATGAAAACCCATTATGCGACGCCCACCCAAAAAAACCTGAAAAATATTTGGAAGGAAGTCGCATGCATTCTTCAGCGAAAAAAAAAAGGAAAATGTGTGGAAGTCGCGTGCGTTGGATGTGACTTCAGTAGGGGGAAGTCGCGTGCATCGCCTGCGACTTCCACATCAATGACAGCTCACCCGCCACATGGACAATACACGTTGCACGGAAGTAGCGTTCATTGTATGCGAGTTTTGACCCCTCATTTGACCTAACCTAGTTTTGTCAATAGTTTCAAAAACCTAAGTTACTTTTGTATTTATTTATTTAATTTACATTTATTTAGTTATTATTTTTAAATTAACATTATTTTTGTAATTTCTTTTTAAAATGTCATTATTTTAAAACTTAACCCAAATAAAATTGAATACACTTTTATTATTATTATTATTATTTAAAAAAAAGTCATAATTCCTTCTATGTTTCGTTTCCTCCCCGTGAAAGGTCTATTAAAATAATTATAATTTAAAGAAATTTGAGAAATTTAAGATGGCATTTTTAGTAATTTAGCCTAATTTTACTGAAACTCAAATTGCAAGTGTTCATCTTCCGTCTCCCTCTTCGTTCTCAGTTCTTTTCATCTTCCTCTGCGCTGCGACCGCCGCCGCTGCCGTCGCCCGCTCCTCTGTTCGCGAGAGCATGAAATAGTTTTTTAGAAATTGACGTATCGCCGTGTCCGTATTCGTGTCCCGCGTCCTTGCTTCTTAGGCTCGCTATGCC